TTTTTGGCAAGAAAACTCTTCTCGCAACAGGAAACAATAGCAAACTTTGGGCAGGCCTCCACTACCGCTTCAGTAGATCTAACTTGCCTCGCTCAGGGGTGTGAAAGAGACACCCCCTAAACAACGCAAGTTACAGCGACCTAAGCGCTGTCCACCCCAGTGCTATGTCAGCAGGAGACGTTTCTAGTGTAGACAGGGCCTTTAAAAGCCCAGCGTATAACTTACTGGAAACAGGTGCACACATTCTATCTCCTACCTTTAAAACAGTGGGCTAGGGCCTTCCTTTGGGGAACTCCCGTGGAGCTGCCCCGTGGACTCCCAGGACCCTTTTTCTTCACAACTGATGAGAAGAGCCAGAGTGAATCCTTCTATGGATCCTCAGTACAAATCCTGAGAGGTGCTGAGTACTTGCAACCTGCTTCACTTCCATGGAGCCAGCGCTTCTCAGTATTTGATCCACATTAATTCTGTGGGGATGAGGCAATGGGCAAACTGCCCAAGGATCCTTCAAGACTTATCCAACCATCTTAGCTCAGGCTTCTTCCCAAGATTTCTGGTTCTGCTCACCAGGAGAGACCAGAAAAAACAACTCTGCTCATCACAGTTCTAGCCAAAGCACGAAGCGCCCACACGGGCAATACAATGTTTAGAAAGGAGTTAACAGAACAGTGTTTAGTCTGATTATAAATTCCGCAGGCCAAGGACCATGTCTTCTGCTGCTGTGTCTACAACAATGTCGTGCAGCCTAGAGGACTGAGCCCTGGGTTCTAATCCTGCTTCATCTACTAACCTGCTGCATGACCTCGGTCAAGTCCCTGCACCTGTCTTTGGCCTGTAATCCTTCTCTATTTAGATTGTGAGCTTGTTGGGGTAGACAGTGTCTATCAGTATGTGTTTGTACAGCACTTAGCAGGACAGGGCCCTGATCTCGGCTGGCCTCTCTAAACGCTGCTCTAACTCAGCAGAGCCCACTATTGGCACATCAGTAAATAAGATTCAGGTGCTATTGTAGTCAGCGTGCTTCACCAGAGGGAATAAAGTGGCTGGAGAGACAGCGTGGCCAGGAAATGCTGTGTCCTAAACCTGACAGTGCCTCTGTGGCCATGAGAAAGTCTTTAAACCCATCCCCGCCTCTGTTTTCCCATCTGCAAAGGACAGCCAATATGCTGCTCCCAGGGTGTTCTAGGCATCACTGGCTGTTCAAGGCTATGGACGTGCCCATCGTTACTTAGTGGGTTATAAACTAGCCCCAGTCGGAAGAGTTTGGTCGAAATCTGTGTGATGGATCTATTCGGGCATCACCCGCTCACACCAAGGGCCACCTCCTGCAATCCCTCACTGACAGCAAGGGCACCCCTCCAATGGGACTCCTCTGCAGGAGGGAGGCTTTGCGGGATCAGGCCCTGATTGGTCTATGTATGATACGCAGGGGAAGCCTAGCACCCCGTGGTGGATGCATGCACAAGATGCAGCTGCTCATGGTGCAGAAAGGCACTGCCAGGATCACCAGATGCCTGGTCCTTGGCAGCCCAGTATGAACCAGTGATGCATGGCAGACCCTTTGCCAGGGGCCCCTTCTGAGCAGGCTGATGTGGGACCCGTAGAGAAGCTCTGTTTCAGCCTTGGTCACTGTGGTTCCTACCTGCTCAATCTCAGGCTGCAGCGGGCTGTAGAGAGGCCTTGTCTCCACGTGCTCGGGCACCAGGCCCTGCTTCCGCAGCGCGTACAGGGCGAGCCGCTCCTCCGGCGCTCCCAGGTGTGGGTTGAGGGGCTTGCCATCCTCTGCCACAGAGAGATCAGACAGCAAGCGAGGTTACCGAACACCCTCCATGGATCCATCACCGACCTGGGGCCCGATTCTGATCTCACACTGCGGCTTATCCCTGGGTCACTCCACGGACTACCCTGGGTCAGTGTGAGTCCAGAAGCCCGTCCCATGGGTGCTGTGACAATCTGGGGCACGTGAGCTAGCGGCCTGCTGCTTGGACCAGGAAGGAGCTGGCTGGAGAAGGGGACAGATGGGGGCATGCTTGGTGAGGGATGGTCAGCTCTGAAAGCCACAGCCCTCTTTGTCCCACCAAGGCCCGCATCTGACAAAAAGCCGCATTGCCAGTGCTGGTTTCGGGTAGAGTGGCTGGAGATGGGAAGGGGAATGGGACCATTCGGGGGAGTTTGCTCAGAGGTCTGGATATGTTTTTCTTAAGGTTTGATTGACATTGTTCAAAACGGGTCAGTTTAACCCATCTTTCTAACGTGCCTAGGGCCGCGGAGAGGCACTGCTGAAACCAATGAAATCACAGCTTGTACCCAGGCCAGGGTCTTCTCTCCTGGCATCGCTATGAATAAGGAGCAACTCCACTAACCTCAGCTCTTCCATAGCGCTTTTCATCAGTAGGTCTCATGGCATTTCCCACACTTTACTGTATTTATCCTCCCACACATCCATGAGAGAGGGCAGGGCTCCTGTCCCCATTGTACAGATAGGGAAACTGAGGCATAGAGAGGCTAAGTGACTGGCCCGACGTCACACAGGGAGTCTGTGGCAGATCAAGGAATCAAACCCAGGTCTCCCAAGTCCCAGGTTAACATCCTAACCACTGGAGAGGTGAATCGGGCCCTTAGTGATTACATAAAAACACCCATTCGCAGCTGGATTTTCAGCAGCATTCAGTGCCCAGCAGCTCCCCCTGTGATATTTCTGATCAGATTTTCACAAGAGGCCAGCACAGAACGTTCCTCCATTGTGCTGACCTCTGCTGACACTCTGGCCAATCCGCACCCGTGTGCACACACACGGACACGCATTCAATGAATGCCAGAAGCGTCCTACCTTCCGAATCACGTTTCAGTCACAGCTCCCTTCTCCGTACCTTGGGACAAGGTGCATTGTCTGCTCTTATTGGACAAGATCGAACAACAACTAAGGTCCTGGTCTGCTCTGCGCAGACATGAAAGTTCCCACACTGTTTTATGGAAGAGGAGGGAGTGTATCTCCAATTGTCCTGAGTCAAAACTTGCTCTTTCCACAGATCTATGCATTGATTTGTTGGGAGTCCTCCACTCCAGAGGTGGCTGCATTTCAGCAGAGCTGAGAGTCAGTTCAAAGCACCCCGAGGGCCTTTGAAATGAAATGCGCTATATCAATATTATTACAGCTCTGCTGCTTTCAGGTGATAGATCCCAGCTTCTCTCTTGGCAGTGCCTTGAAGGGGTTAAACTTCATACACACGGGATTTTCCCCAAGCCCTGGAAACCTGGCTTGGGTGTGTCTGTGTGTGAGGCTCAGAAATAAAAACCTCTCTCTGAAACCAACAATGTGGGGGTTATGAAATAATGGTCTGGGCACAGTGCTTGTAAAACCCCTGCTCTCGTATTTAATGGCTTCACTTTATGCCCCGCCAGGTTCACATCTGACACTGTTCTGCACACACAGCTGGTTTCCAGATCTCGCTGAGGTCAAACCCCCAAGCTTTGTTCTGGTTTTGAAGTGATTGCCATTAAAAGAAAGCAAGGTGAAAGGCAGGCTGGGCGGGGGAGAGACTAGCCCCACTCAACTTAACACCTCTCCAGCCCTCGGTGAAAACCTGACACAGAACGGGAGGCTGTGAAGAAGTGGCTGCTTCTTGGCTCCTTCCAAGAGGGGTCTGTGCGGCAAAGCCCTACAACATTTGAGAGTGGTTTGTATCTCTGCTACGTACCCCAGGTCGCTGTGCCACTTTTAAATACCAGCCCCTCTGCAAGCAAAGTGCAGCTGGGTGATCACACAACCCTCTGTGCTTGTCAGAGCTCATGAGGAAACTGACACCTTTCGGCGCCCCTACATATTTGCATGGTGTGTTATCGCCTCTTTGGCTGGACAGAAATACATTGTTTTGAGTCCAAAGAGGTGGAATTCCACCCTCCTGGCAAAATGCTGAATCCTGGCAGATTTCAACCGTGCACAGAAATACCATTCATGTGTATACCACAGCAGATTGTCCTCGAAATCAGAGATTTCCACCTGGCTTTAGCTCACACACATGTTTGTAGCTATAATGCTACCGCCTTTCAAGCTGTATTAGGATAAAGGTAAGGGTGTGTTACGCTGGCCCGGTGTATGCGATATTTGTCGCCCTCTAGCGACATACCCAGCAAGTCCAGCAGACTGCTACCTGCACGCTGTGGCAGATTTCCTTCTGCTCAGTGCTAGAGCCTGCATTTGTATAATTCCTCCTGACGAGAGTGGTGTCCGTATGGGTTTGGCCAGGGCTTGCTCCAGTTCCAGAAGGTATTGAGCTGATGGAAGAGTGGCCTTGTGGTTAAGGCATTGAACTGGAGTTCTGGGTTCAATCCTTGAGTATATCACAGAGTCCCCACACCTTGGGAAAGTCACTTCATCTCTCTGGTCCACCTCTATAAAAGGAACAGGACTATTCTTCCTTTCTCCCACTCTTGGGCTGTCTAATCTGTTTAGCCTGTGAGCTCTTTGGGGCAGGGACTGGCCCTATGTGTATGTACAATGCCTAGCATAACGAGGCCTCGAGCTGGGCTGCAGATCTAGGAGCTTCTAGGAGCAATACAGATTCTATAATGCTGGCAGCTCCTTTGGGCTGGCCATGTGGGTTTTCATAGAATCACAAAATCATAGAATATCAGGGTTGGAAGGGACCTCAGGAGGTATCTAGTCCAACCCCCTGCTCAAAGCAACATGATCTGAGTTCTCACTGTAAATCAACTCAACTGTTCATCTTCACCCTCAGTTTTGCTGCCCTGTTTCACAAGCCGCCAGTCTCCAGTGCAATAATGGGGACGGGGGGGCAGGGAAATGGTTTATGGATGTGAGGAGACTCCTTTACCGAACTCAGAGAGGACGTACTCCTGCTCCCTGAATATGACCCGGTCTGGCTTGTAGATGGGAGCTTTGCAGTTGCGTTGCAGGGAGAAGAGATGGAGCAGTTGGGAAGGTCGGAGCTGGTCTCGCCACTGGTTGGGTCCAGAACTGAAGCAAGACATTAGTAAAAACAAAGTGTTGAAAAATACACCCCGCCTCCAAAGGCCGCGACTGTTCCAGGGGCAACTGCCGGGCAGAACTACAGCGGGGGGTGAATAAGGCCGGGATATTTTTTAAAGAAACCCAAACTGAGCTCTAAGAGTCAGCAAGGAGCTGAGGGTAGAAGCACCCCGGCGGGAGAGGAGCGGTTCTAGGGGACAGACCGAGGCACAGTGAGGTAATGGCGGTACGCGGCGCATTTCTTGAGCTGGCCCCCTCCCTGAGGATGAATCTCCCCCAGAATAGGCAGAGGAAACTTCAGGCTGAATGTGGCCGTCTCCCAGGGGAGATGAGGGGAGCCCCTTTAGCTGAGACATTTCAAACTGTAGGCACCGATTGCACGCTAGCAGGAAGTGACCTGAAAGTCTTGCCCGTCTCACACGCCTACCGCACGAGGCTGGGACTTCGTTCACGTTTTCCCACATTGGTGCAGCTGGGCAAAGCTGCTGAAGGCCTCTCCCTTTGAGACACCCAGGTCAAGCTGCTACACAGAGAGAAACTACGGAGCCGGCTCCTCTCTCCCGGGGCCGACTCTCCCTCAGCTGCTGTCCCCTGTACCACTGCTGGGAGGCAGGGCAGAGAATCCGGGAACTGTACCGGGCCCCTGATGCCCCCTTCCAGCAGCACGGCTACACAGACAGGGGCAGTCTGGCTTGAGCGTCCAGCCAAAATTCAGCCCAGTCCTTTATTCCCTATTCTATTAGGCCACCTCGCCCAGGGGGTCTCCACCTTTCCCATAGCAGGACCCCCTCCCATGTAACTAGGATATTGCCTCCCCTCCATGGCTGCCACCCCCTGAGCGCATTATCCAGCCTCCCCTGAAACCTCCCCTAAAACCTGCCCCCACCCCAATATCTGCAGGACGACCCTGGTTTTGGCAGGCTGACTCCCACGTGCTCGTGGGAAGCCCTGGGGGTTCTGGCACCAGCCATGCAGGGCCCAGGAGGCATCACATGGCGTGACGGTGACATTCTGACACATCACCCAGAGCTCCCTTGGCAATGCCTCTCCCTGGCGTGTCAGTGGGCTGATACCACAACAGATGCAGGTGCCCAGGATGGTGCTGGGTATCTTCCCTCCTTGACCCAGCCAAATCTCCCCGACAGGGCAGCTCAGAGCCACCTGGGCTATCGGAAGTACCTACATGCAGTAGGTCTGGGGCAGGCCGCACCGGGCCCCGAATTTCGACAGGAACCGGTTCTCCAGGTCTATGACGGTCTCGCCAATCTTCTCATCCTTCGACAAGAGGTCGTAGTCATAGAGAGTAACCTTCAGGTCCTTCTCCAAAGGCAGAGTGCAGGTCAGCTCAAACATCCTGTGGAAAGGGGAAGAACAAGAGCGTGTCAGGGATCAGGTCCTGGCCTGGAGTCAGCTGCTTGGTTGGCTCCACCTCCTGACTGGTGGGAGGAGGCAGCAAACCAGCTCTTAAGCCCAGCGGCAGCAGTTCAGTGGCTGCTCAAAGCACTCACCCAAGGCTGTGATAGCCCCTGTGTCTGCTTGTTCCCAGCCTTAATACAGGTAACCCGTTCCTGACCCTCAGCTCCGATTCCTCACCTGTGACCCTGGCTCTGACTCCAGCTCTGACCCTGGGCTCCAATTCCTGACTAGCGACTCCTGCTCCAACCACGAGGCACAACCACCCGTGACAGAGAGAAGAGCTGGGGGTGCTTGGCTTTCCCCGGGGTCTGTTGCTGATCACTTCTTAGGACAGACAAGCCAGTGGAAACAGACCTCATGTCTTCCACCCTCCATCACATAACAGAACAACGCAGATGCTGGGCTTTTCGGCCTGCCTGTCTCTCCAGTGTCCCGCCACGCCTGATCAATTGACACAGAGCTGTGAGCTACTGGACTGGGCCATGGAGACCCAGGTTCTGTGCCCAGGTCAGATGCTTTCTGTGTGACCTTGAGCAAGCCTGTGCCTCACTTTCCCAATCCACAAAATGGGAATGGTCCTGACTCACTTTGCAATCAATGGATGGAAAGCAACTAGATGAGAGCTGGGGATCACTAGTGAATGGCGGCCTCAGAATAATAAGCGAACAGAATGCTGGGCATCATTAAGAAAGGGACAGAAAATATCATATTGCCTCTATATGAATCCATGGTACGCCCACATCGTGAACACTGCATGCAGATGTGGTCGCCCCATCTCAAAAAAAGATATATTGGAATTGGAAAAGGTTCAGAAAAGGGCAACAAAAATGATTAGGGGTAGGGAACGGCTTCCGTATGAGGAGAGATTAATAAGACTGGGACTTTTCAGCTTGGAAAAAAGACGATGGGGATATGATAGAGGTTTATAAAATCATGACTGGTGTGGAGAAAGTGAATAAGGAAGTGTTATTTACTCCTTCTCATAACATGAGAACTAGGAGTCACTCAATGAAATTAATAGGCAGCAGGTTTAAAACAAACAAAAGGACGTATTTCTTCACACAATGCACAGTCAACCCTTGGAACTCTTTGCCAGAGGATGTTGTAAAGGCCAAGGCTATAACTGGGTTCAAAAAAGAACTAGATAAATTCATGGAGGATAAGTCCATCAATGGCTATTATCCAGATGGGCAGGGATGGTGTCCCTAACCTCGGTTTGCCAGAAGCTGGGAATGAGCGACAGGGGATGGATCACTTGATGATTCCCTGTTCTGTTCATTCCCTCTGGGGCACCTGGCATTGGCCACTGTTGGAAGACAGAAGACTGGGCTAGATAGACCTTTGGTTTGACCCAATCTGGCCTTTCTTATGTTCTTATAATACCTTACTTTGAACTGGAGGGTCTTTCCTCCAGAAGCATCCCAAAGAATTTTCTAAACTCTCTGGCTCAGATCCCCAGCTGGTGTAAATCGGTGTCGCTCCACTGGAGTCACTGGGGCCAGATCCTCAGCTGATGTAAACTGGTAGAGCGCGCTGAAGTCAATGGAGATGGTCCTCACTCTCCCTTGACGTTCTATACACACATGCACACGCATTACGGTGGGCCTTGTTCTCATCTCACTCACTCACTGGCCTGACCTCGCTGATCTTCACTGACTTCCACCTGGAGTCAGTCCTGGTTTACACCGATGACCAGGATCTGGCCATTAGGTCTGGGAGTCACTTCACCTGCTGCTGAAACTTGGCTGCCTTCAAGGTGGAATTGATGCCCTTTTAACAGCACCCCCACCACTGTACAGCAGCTTTGAGGAGGGGAAGTGAGTGATTGTGTCTCCAATTAAAGCGGCAGGAGGAATTCAGGTCAGCAAATCGTAATTGGCCTAGCTGGAAAACAGCCAGGATCCCAGGGTTACTCTTGTGAAATGGGAGCTTTAATAGCCATGAGCAGCCGGGACCTGGGTTTTCCGTCTCGTCTTAGCGACGGGGTGGTAGGTGCAGAACTCTGTCTAGACTGGTCTTTGGCTGGAAGCCAAGCCTGGTAAAAGAGACCCTCCCCTGGGCTTGCTCGGGACAGCCAAGCTCATTATTATTACATGTATCATGGTAACATCTAGTGCCCTCACTGAGAGCAGATCAGCATTGTGTTATGGGCCACACAAACACATAGTAAAGGGATGGCCCAGGACCTGAAGACCTTATAGCCCTAACGAGACAATGCAGAGAAGTGACGGAGGTCTATAACATCATGACTGATGTGGAGAAAGTGAACAAGGAAGTGCTATTTACCCCTTCACATAACACACAAACCAGGGGTGACCGGATGAAATTAACAGGCAGCGGGTTTAAAACAAACATAAGGCAGTCCTTCTTCACACTGCGCACAGCCAACCTGTGGAACCGGTTGCCAGGGGATGTTTTAAAGGCCAAACGTCTAACCGGGTTAAAAAATGAATGAGATAAGTTCACGGAGGATGGGTTTATCAATGGCTATTGGCCAAGATGGTCAGGGATGCAGAACTATGCTCCCTAAACTTCTGACTGCCAGACGCTGGGACTAGATGACAGGGGATGGATCACTCCGTAACTGCTCTGTTCTGTTCATTCCCTTGGAAGCACCTGGCACCAGCCGTGGTCGGAAGCCAGGATGCTGGGCTAGATGGACCACTGGTCTGACTCAGTACTATTACCCCTATTTCACAGATAAAGAACAGAGAGTAAATGATTCGCCCAGGATCACACAGAGTCCGGAACTGAACTAAAACCTTGCAAGTCCCAAAGCACTGCCTCAGCTACAAGACCATCCATGCTCTCCGACACCAGTCTCTGCCTTCCTCTCCCTTTCCCGCTCTTTCCGCTTTGCTTGTGATCCTGCCTTGGGAGGCAAGTCCCACCGTCCCCACCTGGAATTGAAGCGAAAGAGAAACGTACTTTCCGAAGACGGGCTCCAGCGTGCACGGGATGTAATTGTCCTGGTCATTTATGGATTTCTTTCCCACCGAAATCTTCACGTAGGGGTCACACTACAAAGACAGGAGGAAAAAAGGAACACAGGAGGTGGGACTGCTACAGACTCATCTTCAACAACAACGGTAATAAGGACCAGATTCTGCCACCCTTAGTCATGTGGATCAACCCCTTATTCCATGAACAGGCCCTTGAGGAACACCCCACGTCAGCAAGGGGGGCAGATTCATAACAAATTCCCATGGGTGCTAGTGCTGACTGACCCAGCTGCGACTCCTGTTCCAGGCTTTGTATGCGCATGGACAGGCAGTGGGGATGAGCAACCAAGGGCACAGCATGGAAGGGGATTAACAGAGTTCCCTTGAAGATCTCATGACCCCATAGGCACTGACTCCAGGGGTGCTCTGGGGCTCAAGCACCCATGGAAAAAAAAATAGTGGGTGATCAGCACCCACCAGCCACAGCTGATCGGCAGGGCTGCCAATCAGCTGTTTGGCGGCTGGGGGAGGCACTTGGGGTAGGGCAGAGAGCAGTGAGAGGCGGGGTTCTCAGGGGAGGGTTGGAGCAGGGGCAGGAAGAGATGGAGCAAGGATGGGGCCTCTGGGAAGGGGGTGGAGTGAGGTGGGGCCTCGAGGCGGAGCAGGGGTGGAGCGCCCCTGTGGAAAAATAAAAGTCAGTACCTATGTAATACCAACAGACCTCGGTCAGGTGGGCAGGATTGAACCTGGGACCTCTGGAGCTAAATGCATAAACCACTACTGCATGAATTCAAAGCCTTGTGCCCCTCAGCTAGGGCTGTAGCAGACTCATTAATTGCTAAGTGGTCTTAGTGCCACTAGATGGGACAGAGCACCACACCCAGGAGGTGTGGGGGTTACACCTATGCATGACCCCCACACTTAGAGGGACACATACCCTTATTTCGTCTCAGTTCAGCAAACGGCCTGGGGGATAATGGCCAGGGACTCCAGGGTGGCGGAGAAGAACCCATGCTGAGATCCTCAGGGGGTTTTCACTGTCCCACAGGTTTTTTAGAAGGGAGGGATGGGGCAGCCCTTGGTTGGCTAAGTCAGACATAACTCAAAGACACACAAGGAGCAGGGGCACTGAGTAAGAAGTGGCCACTTTTCTCCTGGCTGCATTAAGCAGGAAGAATCAAAGCATACTGGGAAGGGGAGATGGTTTAACCTTAAATTTTTTTTTTTGACAGAAAATGGTTTTCCAACCCAAGACACTTCTGATTTCACTGAAATTCTTTGAAGGAAAGCTCCTATATGGAAAGTTTTCATTTCGTGTCAGTTTTTGAAAACTGAAAAAAAAAAATTGATTTTCATTTTTGGGTTTTCCTCCCTCTCCTCCTCTCCATTTTTTAATCGTTTCCAGGGTGAAAAGTGAGTTTCAGAAAATGGTTTTTGTTGTTTTTTAAAAATGGAGACAAAAAGGAAATTTTTCATTTCAACCAAAAACAATTTTCTTTTCATTTTAAATGGTCAAAAAAATTGTTTCTGAAGATTTCTCCCCCCCAAATTTTTTTTTGAAGGAAATTTTTGCTTCCTCTGAAATTTTGGGCAGAAATGAATTTGGATATTGCCACCTGCTCTACTGAAAAGCCCAACAAGAATATAGGAGAGCTTAGGCCCTGGGGCTTCGGAACCATGGAAATGACACTTTGAAGAAACAAGTTGGTGTTAGTTTTTTCCTAGATGCCAAGGCCAGAAGTGTGAGCGACGAGGGGATGGGGCAGAGAGAAGCGAGCGGGTCGGGGTCTTGGGGGGAAGAGGCAGCACGGGAGTGGGGTCTTGGGAGAAGGGGCAGTGTGAGGGCGGGGGCTCGGGGGGCAAGGAGCGGAACAAGGGCGGGGCCTCAGGGGGAAGGGGTAGTGCGAGGATGGGGCCTTGGAGAGAAGGGGTGGTGCAAGAGCGGGGCCACAGTTCGGGCACCTGTGGCCCCCACACACACACTTTTAGGGCACTTCTGCCGCTCCTGACACAGGCCAGGGAATTCCACCCCAGCATTTCTGCCCTCAGCCCCATTGCCACGTCTCCCAGATGCTCCCCTGAAGGATACCTTTCCGTTGGAGTCCTTGGGTTGCAAGTCAAAGGCACGGATGATGTAGATCCTGATGAGACACTCCTGGGACCCTTTGGCTGGGAGCTGATGGAACTGGCGCGGTGGGACCGGCACTCTTGGGTCATCCGGGAGGGAGTACATTTTGAACGAGCCCTGAAAAAACATTGAGCAGTCACACGTGTGCACATGCGGGCGTGTTACACTACAAATGCTAATAGCTGGCAACTCTGTGACTGAACTCAGGGCAAATCAGTGCAATGCTGCTTGTGTAATACCACATCCCCAGGCAAGTCATCAGCAGGAAGGATGGAACCTCAGAATCTTTCAGCATACCCTTCCGCTGCGTAACCTCTCTCTGTGTCCCACACACCACCAGAGGGGGACAGAGCGCCATACGGAATAGAGGAGCAATCCTTCACTTCCTGTCCTAAAGCTGTTAAACAGTCGCTGTGTTTCAACCCAGAGGGGGCCGCGAGTCAGTAGTAGATTGGTAAAGTGATGCCTATGGGTAAGTCTACGCTGCAGTTAGACACCCGCGCCTGGCCCGTGCCAGCTGACTCGGGCTCGCAAGGGGGGTCCTCCCCCTTAGCAGGGTCCTAGAGCCCAAATGCCAGCCTGGGCCTGAACGTCTACACCACAATTAAACAGCCCCTCAGCCCAGAGCCAGTCGCAGGTGTCTAATTGCAGTGTAAACATATCCTATATGCTGTTAATTACTATGCAAGGGTCACCTGGGGCAGAATTACTTAGGCCTTGAGTCTCTTTTACACTACCATCATTTGTCCCCTTACGCTGCCAGAATGGTGCAAAGGACCATTCGTGCAAATGAGAATTGAGCTCTTAATGTTTTTAAGGAGCTGAGATCCTCAGAGGAAAAGGTGCTTTACACGCACAAAGCATCATGTGCTACAGATCCATTCAAAGAGAGACCGGTGGAGCGAGTGCCCTGAAGGGACTGGCTCCGAGCACTTGCGTAGACAGCCTGGCAGTCCTCTCACACACATGCTCTCCCCGCCCCACGGAAGAAAGATACTCCATTGTTTTGACCCAGTCGGCCCCAGGCAATGCTGACTCCAGATGTGATTTTCCACATGGATTATGTCTAAGCCTGTACCGGTTCTGAAGTGCAGAATGTAGCCCTCGCCAGGGGATAAGGCAGTCAGACGTTGCTCTGACTGCGTTTGTTAGTACACTTTTATGGCCAGTTCTCCACAGGGGTGCTAATAGGAAATAATTCATCCTAATAAGCACCAATACATTCTGTTTCTACAAGACCTTTCATTCGGCAGGATCCCAAAGTGCTCTGGGGACAGCATACAATGCACATTCTCTCTCCCACACGCACTGTGGAGAATCGCTTGCCCACCACTGAAATGCTGCCCCCTCTGAGTGAAACACAGCAGCTGCACTCTGCCAGCAACACTACAATGGTGTTAAGTGCAACAACTTCTTACTTAGATTGTAAGCACTTTGGGGCAGGGATTTTTTGTTTGTTCTATGTTTGTACAGCTCCTAGCACAATGGGGTGGAGCAGACCAGGGCTTCTAGGTGCTACTGCAATACAAATAAATAATAACAGGCCATTGCATCAGGACTAACATCTTATCCATTACACGGGCTCTAGAGGTGACTTGGGATTTGTCTACACTTAGACGTGGAAGGGTTTGATTTTTATCAGTAAATGCCGGTGAACATTGATTTCACTGTACACACAGAAACCAACAAAAAATATTTCCATCGATAATAAGCTAAACTTAGTGACAGGCCAAGTAAGAAAAATGCTCCTTGAGAACTAATGAGAGTTGATTTAAGGGGGAGGGGGGGAGAGATAGCTCAGTGGTTTGAGCAATGGCCTGCTAAACCCAGGGTTGTGAGTTCAATCCTTGAGGGGGGCCATTTAGGGAACCAGGGTAAAAATCTGTCTGGGGACTAGTCCTCCTTTGATCATTGTAGCAGTGAAGATATGTCTTCAGGTTTTACATCTGTTGTTCTAGCAGGGTCTGGTGCCACTCTGAGTTGGCTGTCAGGTACCACCCCACACTGGAACCCAGACAGGGTATCATCAAACAACTACAACCCATACTTGATGGGGACCCCATCCTAAAAGAAATCTTTCCTGAACCCCCTCTTCTGGCCTTCAAATAACCCCCCAACCTCTGCAAGCTCATCAGCAGAAGCAAACTCCCCACAGACCAACTCAAAGCAGCACCAAACCTTGCTAGAACAAGATACAAAACCTGCCGCCATATCTCCCCTGCTACAGTGATCAACGCCAACAATTCATTACTTTGCTGGACACAAAAACCCAAGGACTGAACAGAAACACTGGATTTCTGGCTTATTACAACAACCTGTAACCCACTAACTCCACTCTTTTTGTCCTATGACTGCAGAGGTGCTAATGGGCCATTCTACTTTGAATTGTCCCTTACAATATGTGCTCACTACTTATGCTAAACAACCTGTTCCACCTTGCCTTTAGCTGTGAGGCTAGGAGTACTTTTCCCAGACCTGAAGAAAAGTTCTGTGTGGCTCCAAAGCTTGTCTCTCACCACCAGAAGTTGGTCCAATAAAAGATATTACACCTCACCCGCCTTGTCTCTCTAATATGCTGGGACCGACACAGCTACAACTACACTGCATACAACAGTGCCATCTGTCTTGGACGGTTTAGACACAAGAAATCCTGCATCTTGGCAGAGGGTTCGACTAGATGACCCTTGCGGTCCTGTCTAGCCCTATGAGTCTATGACATACAATGTTGATAGATTGTGTTTTAACAATTATAAAGCTTTAACTTTTTTCATCTCTTGTCATTAAATAATTATCTGACACCCTCGTCGTCTGGCCCACCATACTTTCCTGCAACTGTGAAACTTTAAATTGATGAAAATAAAAATAAATGCTTCCAACCCATAATTTCACGCCACTGTGAACATTTCAGTAAATAAAAATAGGGGGAAAAAACCCAAAATAAGCATTGATATTAGCTGCCGAAATTTTAAGAAAATACAAATCCAATTCTGCCAAGCCCCTCTCTATTGTAATCACAGGGTGTCATTGCAACTTGAGCAATCAGAGCCCAGCTAGCGAGCTCAGACACATGTGCAGAGAAGCCACTGAACAACCCCCCCTGGAACTCTGGGTAATTATTCACGGGGTTAGCCCTTGCTAAACGAGCTGCCACGGCCTCACTGCTCTGCGACCTACACTAGCTAAATTAGAGCTACCTGGGGTAGGTCTACACGAGCTGAAATCACACCCTTTGTTTGCAGTGTAGACACACCCATCCCATCCAGCGTGTTAAGCACCAACTCTTGTCTGCTCTGCCCTCTGCAACGTTCCCAACTTCTGTCAGGCCTGGGTTCCAACAGATCCTTCCATGGTTTATAACAAAGAAATATTCATGGGCAGGCGCTAGAAGGATTAGCTGCTAGTTTCCAATGACTACTGCTAGGTAAAGTGACTCTGGGTATAAAGAGCGTCCATCGGACCTTGAATTCCCCCACCACCGAGGGATCTTCGTTAGCGTCCTGCGTTCTGCCGCGGTAGAGCTTGAAGGTGTGGCAGAAGTCGGAGAGCCTCTCAAATTCCTCCATATTCTCCAGCTCCGTCTCGTAGACCTAAGGAGGAAAACCCCTCTGAGTAAAAGGATGAATTTCACCCATAAAGCACAGGGTGCACACCATCTGCACAATACCAGGGATGCCTCTGTATCTCCTTACTCCCAGAGCCCTAGAGATCAGGGGTGGAGAAGGCCTTTCAGATCACTATGGTAACAACAACCTTTCACAGACCCCTTAGACATTGTCTGCTGACCCCTAGGGGTCCGCAGACCACAGGTTGAAAACCACTAACCTAGACCGTCCCTTGAGGCCAACGTGGGATTGTCACTCTCCAAGCACTTTGAGGTTTTAAATGACTCAGGGTTTGCCCTCACTGCAATTAAAGACCCGCGGCTGGCCAAGGTCATCTGACTCAGGCTCGTGGGGCTGTCCAATTGAGGTGAGGACATTTGGACTTGGGCTGCAGCCCAGGCTCTGGGACCCTCCCCCCTAGCTTGGGCCTAGAGCCGGGGATCCAGCCTGAGCCGGAATGTTTACACAACAATGAAACAGCCCCTTAGCCCGAGCCCCGTGAGCTTAAGTCAGCCGGCACAGGCCAGCTGTGGGTTATGAATTCCAGTGTAGACCTATCAAGCAACAGGGCTCCCGCTGCTTCCCCATGGAGGGTCTTCCACGGCCCAAGGGATCGCACCGTTCCTGGCAGCCAGGCGATGATTTCCCTGTTTTACATTCAACGGGGGTTGTTATGCTACACTCGTCACTGTGGGATTGAGGACTTAATTCATCCCTCTTGTACCAGCCTTAACAATTCTTCTCCTTGAGGTACACGCTCTCCTAGGCAGGTCATTTGTTCGGTTATAAACCAGACAGTCCTCTTTTTGGGTGGTTAGTGCCCAGCCCAGTGCTGAAACAAAACCAGACATGGTTTTGTCCAGTATCAGATGGGGTATGTTAGTTTGAAAGCATGCCACTGCGCCCCCACTGGTGGGACCTTGTAGATGCCGGGCATGTGAGATCACGCCAGCAGGGGCAAGCCCATGCCATTCCCGGTGGTACAAGAATGACCAATATTTGGAGACTGAATGAGTGGCCACCCCACACTCTTGTAGACTGGTAGCTCCCCGCCACACCCAGCCCATAAGCCTCGATGCTGTGAACAGTTACTTGGGCATACAGCTGGTCAAAAAATTTCCAGCTGTTGAAACTGTTTTTCAACAGAAAATTGGGTTTTCTACCAAACAAATTTTTTCTGAACAATGTTTGTTTTCTGGAGGAAATCTGAATTTTTCACCAAAAAAAAGGGAACACCCCTAAAAAGAAATACTTCAGTTAAGGAAGGGTGCCTCGGTGCCTCATGAGACTTGCAGTTCAATTGTCTCATGTTCCCCTTCTCTTCTATGGTCTGGGCTCCCCAGCCAGACTACATCTCCCATGACCAAGGACTCCCATGATGCACTGCCACCCTTTTCCAAGAGGGGAGACTGTGTATTATGGGAGATGCAGTCTGACCAGGGAGCCGGGTCTATAGAGGCGAATGGGAGCATGAGACACTGAAACTACAGCTTCCATGAGGCACCCCGGCCAAAATGTTCAGTACTCTAATTTTGTCCAAAAAAAGTTTTGGTTTTTTTGGGGAGGGCTCCACAACCAGCTCCACTCCTGTGCTTAACTTTACACATGGGAGTCATGCCACTGATGTCCCAAGGACCCAACCCAGCTCCCATTGAAATCAACAGCAAAACTCCCACTGATTTCAGAATCAGATCTGGAAAAAACACCCCTCGACTGGAGCTCCCCTTTTAAAAGAAATCTCACTCCATAGACAATCAGTGTCAGCCAGCTGCTACAAGGCCTCAGCCACAAGGAGATGAGGTTACCTTCAGGGTGTCAAAGCCCTTCTCTAAGTAGCCGCCGCATTTCTCTCTCTCCCCCGTCGAAGCGTAGAACTTGCTCCACCAGTCGATGAACTCTTCCTCCTGGAGGAGGGGGGGAAAAATAAAGTATCTCCCTTGGGAAACCACCCGGCGAAAACCGCACCATTTAACATAATTGCTATGGTTAATATTCACCCCATGCAGAGAACCAGCACCAAGCTCATATACCCAATGGGTGTTACACATCCCCCTGTGGGCTGAGCCACAGAACAGCGAGCCTGTGGCCTTGTCTACACTACACAGGCTCTTCTGATGCAGCTCGACCAGGATAGCTACACCAGCAAAGCCCCCAGTGAGGATGCAGCGTGCGCCAACAGAGGGAGTTTTCCTGTCGGCATAGAAACACCACCTCCCCAAATGACTTTAGCTATTCCAAAAAAACTCTTCTGTCAGCACCGCTGCCCGTCTACGCTTTGCCACCGTAGTTATGTTGGTGAGAGGGTGTGGTTTTTACACAGACCCAACCAGCAAAACTGTAGTGTGGACTTGACATGTTACAAACTGTTACAGGAGCAGGGATAGCTCAGTGGTTTGAGCGTTGGCCTGCTAAACCCAGGATTCTGAGTTCAATCCTTGAGGGGGCCATTTAGGGAAGTGGGGTAAAAATCTGGGGATTGGTCCTGCTTTGAGCAGGGGGTTGGACTAGATGCCTCCTAAGGTCCCTTCCAACCCTGAGATTCTATGAAGATCTGTCTCTTTAGCCCAAGCTGTGTAGAGTCTTTCTTGTAGCTCTGAAGGTCCCTGGTTGCTGGTACAATCCCCAGTGTGGTAGCCAAGACAGAGGTTGTCAGACAACACTTAAGCATTCAGGATTCGAAGTGGTGCCTAGACCTCTCTGCACAGAGGTGAATCTCACCCCAGGAGTGGGTCAAAGATGTTCTGGAGACGAAGCCATCAGAATTTGTTTCCAGGTGGCAGCTTTTTGCCGACCTTGGTGGCCCTCCGCTGGGGATCTCCATGTGAAAGGAAGGACGGGTTATAATAACAGCCCCCAGACTAACAGGGCCACGTGTCTCAGAATGCTGAGGATATGTGCTGGGATATCTGATAAATAAAACCTACCCCCCAACTCTAAGCTTAGGTTGCAAACTTTCTGGGGCCGGAATTGCCCTTTTGTTCTATTTGTAAAGCGCATAACGCAAGGGGGCCAACGTCCATGCCTTGGTCTCCTATACATTACCATAGTACTAACTATATCCCTTAAAACAAACCCTGATCCCAAGAAATTCCACCGCTCTCTAGAAGAACGTAACAACTATGCAGATCTATACAAGAAACAGAAATCACCAATCCCATAAGCTTAAGACTTTTAAAAGTGAATGGCAGGAGACTCAAGGCCGGTAAGGAGATTTCACCTCATCTGTTATGTAAACTGGGAGAGATAATGGGCTTTCAGGACTGCGGATATTATTCCAAGGAGAAAGCCGGCTGTCGGGTTCTGAAAATATATATTATTTTATTATAAGTGCACAATTTTGAAATTTATGCAAGCGAAGATGAAGGGGCTTTGACTGTGATTCATGAAACATTCCTGAAAACTAATGATGTCTTATTTTAGAAGTCCACAAAATTCCATCACACTGACCTAATGGAGGAATCAGAGTAGAGGTTTATTGGATTTCGATTTTAAGCCAACAGTTGCAGGCTTGAAATTGCTGTCTTGAATAGACATTGTTTTTAATAGCAATATTACATAAATTAGCTTTGAGGCCTCGGCTGCCTTCATTTTTTCAAATCTTGCCTTTCATCACGCCCCTTGTTTTATTGTTTAAAAATCTACGTCCTAACCACCACGGCTTTATTCTGACATTCCACAGGTACCAAGTTACAAAGAAAGCACTTAAACTAATCTGACGACTTACCCATGGTATCTTCTGCAGCCCCAAGACAAAGCATTGGGTTAGATATTTTTGCTGATTTCTACTGATGTTACAGAAAGAATAAGAAGAAGAAGAAGAAGAAAAGGCCAGAGGGAGCAGCTGGAATGTTAATAGCGAAGGACATTAATTGTTTTGCCTGCAAATGGAAAAGCCAGTTAAAGCAAAGGACCCAATACGCAAGTGACTGGATAGGGGGATTTGATTTAATCATCAGGCAACAGCCAAAAGCACTTTAAGTGTCTTATCTGGGAAGCCGGGCTGTGTACTGATCAGAGGGCAGAACTGGGAGTCTGGGTTTCTATTTCCAGCTTGGCTACTGATTCAGCGGGGGTGGAATCCATCTCCTGGGCAGAGAGCCAGCACCGGGCCAAGGAGCCACTGGAGTCGCGCTTAACCCGACAGCAGACATAAGTGGGACATTTACCATGTGCTGGACCTCTGTCCTTGGGTACATGGCCATGGGCAAGTCACTTGGGCTGAGACTTTTCACAGCTGGGTACCTCAAGCCAGGCACCGTGATCCATAGACAGACACCGCAGTAAGGCCCTGATTCTGATGGGAGCTTTGCCACTGACACCAGCAAGCATCAGACCAAGCCCTAAGTGGCCTAATTTTTCAGACATGCGGAGCAGTCACGTCTCCCATGGCTGTCGGGGGAATTCACCGCTCTGTGCCTCCATTTTGGCCCCCCGATCTGTAAAATGGGGATAATCTTTACCTACCTCACAGCGGTGCTCGGGGAAAGTGGTTAATGTCTAGAAAGTGCTGAGATCCCTGCATAAGAGGCTCTAAAGAAGAGCAACGCATTAATCTAGTTAGCTCAATCTATTTAGTTTAACAAAGAGAAGGTCATGGGGTGACTTGATCCCAGTCTATAAATACCTACCTGGGGAACAGATATTTAATAATGGGCTCTTCAATCTAGCGGGCAAAGGTCTAACACGATCCGATGGCTGGAAGTTGAAGCTGGACAAATTCAGACTGGACATTTTTCACAGTGAGTGTAATTAACCACTGGAACAATTTACCAAAGGTGGTGGTGGATTCTCCATCTCTGGCAACTTTTAAATCAAAAGATCTGCTCTAGTTCAAATAGAAATTAATACCGGGAAATCCCCTGGCCTGTGGTATGCAGGAGGTCAGATTCGATTTTCACAGCAGTCCCTTCTCACTTTACAATCTAACAATCCGTTTTATTTTACCAAGGGACGTATCAGAATGGAGTACTGTGATAAGGCAAAATGATGGGTTATGTTTAAGAGAAATTAATTCACATTCGAAGAATGTCTAATAAATAACAGTGTTTTACAAACACATGGCACTTTGCACCAGAGAATCTCTACGCCTTTTTGAGTCTAAGGCCTTGATTCAGCAAAGCACTTAAGCATGTGCTTAATTTTAATCACAGTATTGAAGTCTATGGGATTTAAGTCTATAATTAAATGCCTTCCTGGATCAGGGCTCAAATTCAGCCCTGTGGAAAGGGCCAGCCCAAGGCATATGTGCCCTTAAATCCTATTTAAGCCCTCAAAATAAGACTTAAAAGGGACTTAAAAGAGCACGTAGTTTCTGTGCAGGCCCTCACATAGGGGTGAGTTTCACTCTACAGATGTGAATGAGCTGGACCTCACAACCTCCTCTGCGATAGATCAGTATCATTATTAGAGCTGGTTAGATGGCTTTTTGATAGACAAGCTAAGGGACTTGCCCAGGACCATACAGGGAGTCAGTAGCAGTGCTGGCAATACAACCCAGAAGCCTTGATATGCAGTTCCCTGCTCTAACCATTAGACCCCACTCCTCCCTGTATGAGTACACTTAATTACGGTGCTAATAAATACACAGTATCGTTAAAGAGACAAAAATCAGTAGTGTTAGGGCTCAGTAGGGCCAGGCCAGGTGAAGTTGTGGCTTGCTTTTAAATGAATCATCCACACAGGCAATTCTTTAACTGCTCTGTGTGAAATCCCCATCCACCCACTCAAAAAGCTCCCATTCACTGTTAAAAGCAGCGTCACACACAGCCCTCACCCTCCAGCATCAAGCAGCAGGTTACCCCTGTGCAGAGAAAAATGTCAGGGCAGGAGGTTACAGCCATTGCTGAGACAGGGCATGATGTCAATAGAGTTACACCAGCGATGAATCTGGCCCATGGACCAGACCCCTGATCCCAGACGATTCCCATCGGAGCAGCAAAGGGGCAGCCAGAAGACGGGCAGCTGCCTGTCACCTGTTCCCATCGGTTTCCCTTCTGGCCGATCATGCACCGCACACAACACAAGTGTATTGGGGCCTGTAACAGGGTGGCTGGCATCTGCTCCCTCCAGGTGTCTATGGAAGGGAAGTGTTCCTTTTTATAGCCCTGCCCCCTTATCCCAGAATTCCTTGCTGTCCCAACCTCCATTCTAGGCTGCAGTCATTGTAGGCCTATGATGGACCTGGGCTTGTCCTTAAAGGGCCAGCCCTCTGTTACAGGGTCATTCCACCCGTTCTCATATCACCTTGGTGGATCCTTTAGGAAAATGAAGCAATGCGAGTGCTGTACATGCAGCAGAACACACCAACAGCATGGATGGGAGGGTGCAGAATTAAAGAGGAGGAAAATCCTGTTCATCCGTCTTCAGGCAGTGAAAAAAGTGTGGCGGGAGGGTCGGAGTTGTGATGTGATATGGATATGACATTACTGAAATGTACTTTATGCCCCGTGGCTCATGTAAGGTACCATTGGAACGGTTATGGTTTACCGAATGTGATTATCCCATTTGTATGCCTGAATCATTTCTGTATCTGAAGTTAGGAATATTGACCATGTATCTGTATTTCAAATGTGCTACTTTGGGTGTCACCCACAACTAGCCCTTCAGATACAACAATGAAAAAGCCAGACAGGGCTGATGGCCCATTAGGAAGAAACATCACGACTGTGAAGATACTCATCTCTCTCCTTCCTGAGAGTCCTCTTGGGACTAGCTGTGACACTACTAGGTCAGGTGGTCCTGCCACCTGGTACAAAACACTATCTTGAACTTCTAGTAATTTTCCACTTACAGGAGGGGGAGGTCAAAGTTTGGGAAACAAACCATATGTAAATTCTATTTAAGGCTGGGAGGGAAGGCATTCCAGACTCTCCTCCATGGCCTACCCAAGAAGAAGGACTGCTGAAAGAACCTGGAGGGACAAAAGAGACTAACCTGAAGGGAAAGGCGGGGGTGAGTCCAAACTGAGACAGGGGTTCAGTCTATAAGAAGAAATAACTGGAACTCTGAGCTACAGAAACTCTGCATCCGGCCTAATTCAACACTGAGGGTGAGAAATTACCTTTTGTAACCTGTTTCTTTAGTGAATCATGCTTAGTTTGCGTGTTTTGTTTTATTTGCTCAGCAATCTGCTTTGTTCTGTTTGCTACCCCTTTAGTTACTTAAAACCTGCCTTTTATAGTTAATAACATTTGTTTAGTTTATTATTACACCTAGTTTCTGTGATTTCTAACTGGGGGGTGGGGCAAGAAGTTGTGCATATCTTCCTCCACATTAAGGGAGGGGGCGAATTTATGAGTTTGCACGGTGCAGATTTTTCTATACAGCGCAACACAATATCCCTTTGGGTCTGCACTCCAAGCGAGGTGGGCACCTGAGTGCTGGGGCAAGTCCCTTAAGCTGAGACTTCCCAGAGCTGATCTCAGTGTCTGCGCCATTCTGCAGTGGGGTGTGGCCCTGCCGGCGTGTGTGCTAGAGGAGGCGTAAGAGCCTGGCTCAGCAAGACAGGGCAAAGGGGGCCTAGGCTGGCAGAACAGGCAGGCTCAGTGGTATCTCAGCACATCAAGTGGCATCTTGAAGGGGTGCAACCCGTCACAGGAGTCTCCTTTGACCAGCCCCCAAATTATTTAAGGCTAGAGCTGTGAAATGATCATCGCCGGGAATTTCAGGCAGCATTTCTTCTTCCCCACTGTGTCATTAGTTCTCCACCTTGAATTTTTTGCTTTCTTGCCCAAATTGGGACAAAATGGATATTTGTTCGGATCTAAATAAGGCAAACATTTGGAAATAGATGAGGGAAAGAACATAAGAACAGCCATAAGAGGGGCTAGACTGGGTCAGACCAAAGGTCCATCTAGCCCAGTAGCCTGTCTACCGACAGTGGCCAGTGCCAGGTGCCCCAGAGGGAATGAACAGAACAGGGAATCATCAAGTGATCCAGCCCCTGTCACCCATTCCCAGCTTCTGGCAAACAGAGGCTAGGGACACCATCCCTGCCCATCCTGGCTAATATCCATTGATGGATCTATCCTCCAGGAACGTACCTAGTTCCTTTTTTGAACGCTGTTATAGTTTTGGCCTTCGCAACATCCTCTGGCAAAGAGTTCCACAGGTTGACCGTGTGTTATGTGGAAGAAATATTTCCTTTTGTTTATTTTCAACCTGCTGCCTATTAAACTTCCTTTTGTTTGTTTTAACAGCTTCTCTCCAGAAGTCAGCTAGGCCAGGGGCCCCGTGTTTACAATGTGCACGGGGGTCAATATTGTCCTGTTCTGCCCCCCCCCATTAGGGTTGCTTTGGGCTGCACATGTGTACTTACAACCAGAAAAGTGGGAGGGGAAACCGAAGGTGAGAGCGGGAAAGGGGCTTCTCTGAGGACACACCGCGAAAGTGATAGAGCCAGAAACCGAGCTGTGCCTGCTCCGTTGGACCACGCAGCTTTGATGGAGTTTGTGAGCCTGCCCAGAAGCATAAAGCACCCAGGCTCGCACGTGGCACTGACCGCTTACACGTCATAATACGTCCCCTAAGGAACTGGACTGCAGTCGCCTGCTCTACAAACCGACCCAGAGCATTGGAGCCTCCACAGCGTTTCCCTCCAGATTCCATTATTCTCTAGCACCGCTCCGCGTCCTCTGCCAAAGTGGCACAATGGACTGGGATGTGCACGATGCTCGAGGGAGCGACCACAGGAATGCTGAGAGGGAGGGCTGGCCTTTGTTTCAGAGCGGGATATCA